CTCACCACTGCCTCACCCCTCAGGCTGTCAAAACCCTCACGCATGCATTTGTCACCTCAAGGCTTGATTACGGGAACTCCCTCCTCATTGACGTTCCCAACCCTTCCCTTCACAAGCTGCAGATCATCCAAAACTGGGCAGCTCGTGTACTCTCACGCACCAGGTTCCGTGACCCCATCACTCCCACCCTCGCCCGACTCCACTGGCTCCCCATCCCCCAGAGGATCGAGTTCAAGATCCTCGTCCTCACCTTTAAAGCCATCCATGGCCTTGCCCCCTCTGACCTACTGACTCCCTAACAACCTGCCCGCTCCCTCCGTTCAGCTCCGGCTGCTCCATGTCTCCCGCCTGACCCGCCCTACCATCGGTGGCCGGGCTTTCAGCCTCTCTGCCCCCACACTCTGGAACTCCATCCCACGGTCCCTTCGCCTCGCTTCCTCCCTTGCATCCTTCAAGGCCGGTCTCAAGACCCTTCTCTTCGACCGTTCCTTTGGTCTCCCTCCCACCTCCCTGCCTTCCCTCACTGCTACACCACCCCTCCCCCATGCTTGGGCTTCGACATCTGACTGTACAGCGCTTTGGGACGTCCTCCCGACGTGAAAGGTGCTCTATAAATGTAATTTTGTTGTTGTTGTTTGGAGGAGTTATTGAGCTCCTATTGTGATTTTAATGGTTTCAGTTGAAAAGGAAGATTCTATAGAAGAGTTGGATCCTCTTTACCATACAAATAAGACTGTCAATAGAGTTGCCTCGTCTACATGTGGAACAAATGTGGTCAACAAAAATGTAACTTGTGTTTTTATAAACTTATTTCATGAGTGGATAATTGGTTTGCTTGGCTGTGTTTGTGCAAGAAGAGCTGTGCAATATTGTTTTGTGCAGCTGGATGAGATCAGTGAGGTTTCTGTGTTGATGTTTCAGAATATGCTCAGTTTAGTCGTGTTATCTGAATTAGAATGACTGACATTGCCACTTGCTAATGGCGATATTGAGCACCCATGGTGTATGTTTTTAAATAATCAGTGGCTTCTTGAATGTAGTTGCGGTCAGCTAGATTAAGCAAGCATCACAATCTGGTTTGGTTCACGTACATTGCATGCTGACATTCGGGCATTGGAATGGTAATACGACGCCTGCAACTTGACTGTGAGATTCAGTTGACGAGGAAATCTTTGAGCTGTTTTTGGTACCTTGTATTATTAGTCTGATTATTAGAACACTTTTGGCCTTAGATTTGTGTTTTCATTTTGAAGTAACAGTAGGGTGGTCCTAGTGGGACAATAATAACAATCCTTGCATTTGATATAGCGCCTGATCACATCTTCACGACTCAAAGCGCTTCACAGAATATACTGTGAAATGAATTGCCTAAATATTTTGTGGATGCAAGTCGGCAGTAAATTGCGCACAGCAGGCTGGAAGCTTGCCAGACAGCGCTTGAAACGGCAAGCTATGTGGTTTTAACCATTTAAACTCCAGCAGCACCCAACGCACGCTCTCGGGTCTGCAAGCTTTGGCTCCAGTGAACCTGCACCTAATACTTTTTTGAAATTAAGTAAGCATTGCAGTGTGCAATGGGTCATTTCCATGCATAAGGTAGAAATGTTTAGTTCTTAACCATGTTGATTTCCCATGTGTGAGACACACAGTTGACCAAAAAAATTGGAGCTATGATCTTAATAGGAAACAAAGTACGAATAAGAAATTTGGATGTATTTCACAGGCAATTTGTTTTTGGTTATTTCTTGTGTGGGAATACAGAAACTGTTTGCTGGTGACCTTGATAGTGTGGACTGAAGGTTGAAATGTTGATTTTTATGCTTTAGTGTTAGAGATATTGATTGGTGCCCTCCGGGTTGCTACATTAAATGGTCACATACCACATACGTATGTTCACAAAAGGATACTAAAGTTATTTGTATGGATGTTGGGTGATCAAAATAAATAGGTGTATATTGTCCAGATGATACTAGTGAGAGAAGGTTGGCTCAGCAGATAGCTTTGGGTCTGAAGCCTGATCGTGGGACTCGAGAGTAGAACTTTGCAATGTATCCTGTGAACTGCTTTGAGACGTTGATGATGTTAAAAGTTGCGACATCAAACAACAATTTTTTTTATTAGATTGGTGGAGTGCTGTAGGGGATATTAAAGACTCCTTGATACTGTTGAGAAGGGAGTTTCTCCTGGTGTCCTAGCCAACATAATTTCAGGTCTGTTTATGAGACTTTGCTGTGTTAAAATTGGCTACTATGTATGCCTACAAATAGTCACTACACAACAGCTTTCTGGGTTTTAAAGTAGTAAGTCACTTTGTTTTCCTTCTCTTTCTAGAGGTTTTGCTTGAGGTGATATTTTTGCATAAACATCGCTGGTGATCTAATTGGGGAGGAACTGGGTGGGAGTGGTTCTTTGTGCTAAGAGCTGTGTTCTGAATCTCTTTTGGAAAAAAACTATTTGCAGTTGTTTAAAGCTTGTTTAACAATACATAAAGGAAGTCATGTAGGCTGTAAATGTTGAATTAAACTTGCTTGTAAGTTGGTTAGGGACAAAGCAATGTGTATAAATTTGTTAATTTCCCACTGAAAATTCTGGTTGTAGAGCTTAGTTTAAACTTTACATTTACACAATTCAGAAAACTGCATCACTTTTTTGTTCAGAATATTCTGTGATGTTTTTATAGAGACCTATGAGCAAAACCTACAAGCTGTCTCTCTTTTGAGGTAAGGCAGAAAGAAATACTTGATTTTTGGCAAATGTTTTTCTAGTACCAGGATTAGAAATCAGAATTCCAAATGTTACATTTTTCAAATCAAGTTAGTAGCTTTAATAGTAGTCTTGGGAACAGCTTTCTAATGTTCAGCAGTAAAACTTATCATCCTTGAGATTTATCATTAGGGTCAGATTTAGTTTGCAGTTGTTAGATACAGGAAACCCTACGGAAAAATTCCAGTCTTTCAGCTTGCCTGGGGAAACAGGCTAGCATGTTTTCCAGTTTTGAAAGGAACTTTAAAAATAAATTGTCTGTTTTTATATGGTTATATTGCATATTTTTCCTACCGCAACTTTACTGAGGGAAGGGGTTGGAACTTGAGCAGACATGCCACCCTGGGCCTATTCATAGATTTCCCAATGACTGGTTTTAGTGGCATTCTGAGGCCCAACTGCAGATTGGTTGGATGTGCTCTTATCTGGTTAAAGATATGCAATTGGGAAGAGCTTCATTGTAGCTCCTGGCATTGAGGAAGAAGACTATTCTCCCCACAAAACTATAATGTAAATTCTACTTGAGCCATTTTTAAGCTTGCTGTTGTATGGGAACATGTAATTATCTTGGCATTTGATACAGCATCTTTAACATTAAATGTCTCTCTCTCTCTTTGGATTGCTAATATCAAGTATGTCCCACTCTATGTAAGGTGCTTGAATCTAAACTGCTTGGGGGCCTTCTCTCATCTGAGCTTGAGTCCTTGTTACTTTGCTATTGTAGAATTTGTAGCTGTGTTGAACTTGTTATTTGGGTTCACCGAAGACTGACTATAAAAACATAATAATTACCAGACGAAAGAAGACCAAGGACCATCCAGTTTGTCTTTCACGATCCTGGCAGTCACATGCACATGTCATGTACCAGACCAAATACTGTATCCCAAGATATTATTTCCTGAAAGAAATCTATCTACTTTGCTTTTGAAAGAATCAACCCTTTCTGCTTCCACCGTCTGTCTCCCTAGGGAGTCTGTTCCATACATTTACTACTTGCTCACTGAAATAGGTTTTTCAGATTTGTTTTGAATTTACCCCCCCTTCAGTCGCAGGCCAGGTCCTCTGGTTCTACTGTTCGGGACAGGATAAAACAGCGTGTCATTATCCAATCCTTTTAGAATCCTAAAAATTGCAATCATATCTCCTCTCAACCTTCTCTTCTCCAGTGTGAACATGCCCAGTTTACCCAATCGTTCCTCATAGTCCAGGCCTTCCATCTCCTCAATCATTCTGGTTGTCCTCGTCTGTCCTCTCAATCGCTGCAGTATCATTTTTGTACTGCAATGAGAAAAACTGCACGCAGTAGTCTAAGTGAGGTTGCACCAATGATTTGTAAAGTGGCAGTATTACCCCACTAGTTCGGCTCACTATTGCCCTTTTAATACAACCCAACACCTGGTTTGTCTTACTCACTGCCACCGAGCACTGTTGAGATAGTTTCAATTTATTATCAATCAGGACCCCCAGGTTCTTTTTTTCATTTTCCAAACATATTTTGTTTCCATTTAAATAATAGTTCCTTCCTGGATCTTTTTCCTCGTGTGAAGCACTTTGCATTTCTCTACATTGAATTTAATCTATCATTGATCTGCCCAATTCCCAAGTATGTTCAACTCCTCCTGTAATTTATCCTGTTCAGCTTTGCAGTCTGGCACCTTCATTCGCTTTGTATCATCTGCAAATTTAGCCACTGTGCTTGTGACTCCTAGATCCAGATAATTTATGAACATATTAAATAAGAGGTCCCAAAACCGACCCCTGGGAATCTCCACTGGTAATGTTCTCCCAGCCTGATGACATTCCCTGTATCACCACCCTCTGGGTTCTATTGAGCAACCAATTTCTACCTATACTTTCACTGATTCCCGCTGACAGTCAGCTCAGTTAGCACTGGATTTGGGACTAGAGGTTAATAATCCTCCTTAGGAGGTTGTTGAAGTCTCAAAGTGCTTCACAGGATTTTACTGTGAAGTGTAGTGACTAAGATCTTAATTAACAAACAGAGTCTCAGTTAACTTCTCATTTGAAAGACTACAACTACAGCAAAGCAGAATTCTCCCAGCACTGCACTGGAGTATCATCCTAGGTTATGAATTCAAAGACTTGAGACGAGACTGCCACCAACTGAGCTCTACTGATACCTAGTTCTGTGGGTTCCAGAGGAACTGTTCATCACATGAATGAGAAGAGCGCTACTGAGAATGAGTAAACAAAATGTATATATTTTATAAAGTTGCTTTCTTTGTTTATGCAGGCTTCTGCTCGAAACTAAGGCACGCTGCCTCCGGTCATCTCAGTGGAGACGTACAGACTGTCAAGTAACCGTTAAGTTGTAAAACATCCATTGTGGAACATAAGGAAGAAGAGGTCTGGAGAAGCTGTGGTTGTCTGAACAAAAGGCACCTTGAAGGTTGTGCTGCTTGTGCTAGTATTTGCTGTGGGTAGGCGTTGCTGCTGGAGACCTGGGTCAGGGCGAGACCTGGGTCAGGGCTGACCAACTGACGTTGGATAGAAAGACAGACAGTCTGGCTACTACGGGGCTATTGTCTGGGAGAAGAGTTGCTGGTAAGCTGCCTGTGGAGTGGCGTGACTGCTGCTTATACAAGGTAAGTGCATCTTTCCTATTTTGAGTTGCATTCAGTTTTCGTTCTGGTGAGGTTTTTATTGGTCAGTTTGAGCGTGGGAATCACAGCAGGTTGGTTTGTTATGTGGGTTGATGGTGGTTGCCCAGTTACTGAATGCTGCAATAGTGTGCGATGAAACATACTGCAGAGCCTCATTGGGTACGTAAAACACTGTAATCTACTACAGTATATTCAATACAGTAATTGTAATAAGGTGGTGAAAACAACTTTCAAAAAGGAATTGGATAGATACTTGAAAAGGAAACATTTGCAAGGATATGGGGAAAGAGTGGGGGAGTGGACTGATTAGATTGCTCTTCCAAAGAACCGGCTCAGGCACGATGGGCTGAATGGCCTCCTTCTGTGCTGTAATGTTTTATGATTCTGTTCTATGGTTCCATGAAATATTAAATGCTTGAAATACAGTAAACCCCGGCTTACCAGACTCCAGATATCTGAGTTTGGACCGGGCTCGAAACGGAAACCTTTCCCATGGGCCCGCTCGTGTGCAGAATCCTGCCTTGCTCTCCTTCAGTGGCCAGGAAGACCCACTTTGGCTCACTTTGAATCCACAAGCAGAAAGTGGCTTCTTTATTATTTCAATTTGAACAATTTGGCTTCAGCTTGCATTTATATAGCGCTCTCCATGCAGGGCGGTGTCTCAGAGCCCTTAACAATAGCGGAGCCTGAGGCTGAGCCAGGGGGAGGGGGAAAATTGACCGTAGGAGCTGTCAAAGAGGAAGATCTTCAGGCTCGACCTGAAGATGGGGAAGGAGGAGGCGAGGCGATGGGGTTGATGGAGAAAGTTCCAAAGTTTCGGGGTGTAGTGGCCGAAGGCACAGCCGCCAATGATGGAGCGAAGGATTCGGGGAACACGGAGGAGGCCGGACCCAGTAGAACAGCGGCAGCCTGTACTGCTGTGGGGAGAGAGGAGGTTAGTGGGGTGCCATGGAATGGAGGGATTTAAACACTAGAGTGAGGATCTTGAAATTGATCAGCTCTGTGACAGAGAGCTAGTGGAGTTTGGCAAGGACTGGAGTAATCGGGGTACGCAGTTTGGTGTGGGTAAGAATACGGCTAGCGGAGTTTTGAATGAGCTGAATTGTGTGAATAATGGAGGATGAGAGACCGTTAGAGTAGTCCAGTGAGAGGTGACAAACAACAACAAGATTCCATTTATAGAGCGCCTTTCACGTCGGGAGGACGTCCCAAGGCGCTGGACAGTTGGGTCAGGACCCGAGCAGGGGGGAAATGGTCAGGGTGAGGGGAGGGAAGGGAGGGAGCGAGGAGGGGGGAGAGAGTCGAGAGGGGAGGTGAAGGCACGGTTGAAGAGAAAGGTCTTGAGACCGGCCTTGAAGGAGGAAAGGGAGGAGGCGGCGAAGGCACTGGGGGATGGAGTTCCAGAGCCTCGGGGCTGAAGGCCCGGCCACCGATGTTGGGGCGGGGGATGTGGAGCAGACCGGAGCCATAGGAATGGAGGGTATGGGCAGGCAGGTAGGGGGATAGTAAGTTGGAGAGGTAGGAGGGAGCAAGGCAGTGAATGGTGAGGATGAGGATCTTCAATTCGACAAAGGCATGGACAAGGGTTTTGGCAGCTTTTGAGGATCAAACCTGATGCCTAAGTTGCACACAGATTTGGCAAGTTTTAAGTACAGGTTGGGTAAGTTAAGGAGGTCGGAACCGTGGGACCGAAGATGTTGGCGGGAGCCGAAGAATATGGCTTCTGTCTTGTTAACCTTTAACTGCAGGAAATTTGCGCTCCTCCAGTTCTTGATGTCCGACAGACAAACTGACAGAACATCGGGGGACTGGGGGTCGTAGCTGGAAGTGGAAAAGTAAAGTTGAGTGTCATTGCATACATATGGAAGTTAACCCCGTGTCTGTGGATGACATCACTGAGAGGGAGCATATAGATGAGGAAGAAAAGGGGGCCAAAGATGGATCCTTGGGTACCCCGCAGGTGACTGGGTGGAAGTGAGAAGAAAAGCCATTTGCAGAAGGACTCGAACCAAGCAAATACAGTCCCACTGAGGTGGATGATAGAGGACAGGTGCTGGAAGAGGATTGTGTGATCGACTGTGTCGAACATGGCGGGGAGGTCAAGGAGGCAGAGGGACCCTTGGTCACAGATAGAGAGGATATAGTTAGTGACTTTTACAAGCGCTGTCTCTGTACTGTGGGCAGGGCAAAAACCGGATTGGAGACGTTTGAGTAGGGTGTGGAGGGAGAGGTGTGGTTGAAGTTGGTTGGCAACAACGCGTTCCAGAGCTTTGGCAAGGAAGGGCAGGTTTGAGATAGGGTGGTAGTGGCCGAGGTTGGAGGGATCGAGGGTAGGTTTTTTAAGGAGGGGGGTGATGACTGCTGTTTTGAGGGGGAGTGGGACTGATCCTGGGGAGGGATACTGGTTAATAGTGTCTGTCATCAGTGGGCAGAGGAAGGGGAGCTGGGTGATCAGCAGTTGGATGGGGAGGGTTTGAGGTAGCAGGTGGTGGGTTTCACTGTGGTGATGGTGAATGAGAGGGAGGAAGGAGAGATGGGGGCAAATTAATGTAGGATGGGAACCATGGTAGCAGCTGAGGGCGGGGTGGGTGAGTGAGACGGAATGGGGTGGTGGTAGGTGACACAGGCAGAAGGATGAAGCTGCCAGCTGTAAGGAAATCCATGACCACTTTGCACTTGGTGTTGGGTGTGATAATTGAGGGGGCGCACGGAGGAGGTAGTGGGCAGTGGAGAACAGGATTTTGGAGTTATTGTTGGGCTCCAGTATGATGTTTGAGTAGTCTGCAGTTTTTGCTTGTGACAGGGAGTGGCGGTAGGTGTAAATATGCTTGAGCCACAGCTGATGGTGGACCGTGCCACTTGCGCTTGAACAGCCAGGTTTGGGATTTAGGGAGCGGAGATGGCTGTTGTACCGGGGGAACGAATGGGTTTAGAGACGGTCCTGGATTTCAGGGGGACAAGCGAGTTGAAGGTGTAGGAGAGCATCCATGGAGCAGCTTGATGGCTGCTTGAGGGTCGCTGCGGGTGGAAGGCCAGAGGGATAGGAGGTCTGAGGCTGAGAGGGCCTTTGTGAGGGTCTTGGGGGAAGCCTTTTCCATGAGCGGAAAAGTACGGTTGAGGGCTTGATGGAGGAGAGAGGGATGTGAGAGGAGAAGGAGATGAGGAAGTGGCCCGAGATGACCTTGTCCATGATGCACAGTTGGAAATGTCAAGGCTATGTGTGATGACGAGGTTGAGGGGGTGGCCATGGTTGTGGAGTTGATGTGGAGGGTGAGGTTTAGGGAGGAGAGGAGGGCAGTGAAGTCTGAGGATGTGGTGCAAGGGGAGTTTAGATGGAAGTTGAATTCGCCCATTATGAGCATGTTGGAGTTGCAAACAATTACAATGCCGGTACCAGCACTTACTGGTCGGTATTTTTCAACTAAAAATAGCCAGTAAATGCCAGACCGGCATTGTAATTACACTTAGCTAGAAATTTTGGGTGACCGGACCAGTCCTTCTCTCTGTTGCAAACGATTATCTGTTTAGCAGAGATTATTTTTAAATTGGGATTAATTGTTAGGTCTGCTATTACTAGTTTTAATCTTGCATTAGAGATGTTTAATTGTCCTTCCTGTCCTGAAAGTGCTGACCTGTTTAGGGATATCATTTCATAATTGCGTTCAGGTGGCCATTCCATGTGTGTGAGAAGAGTTAACAATCAATCAGCAAGATATTCTATCTTGGCTGTGTACCAGTGATCCTAATCTTGTCCTCACTGAAATACCTGAAGCACAGAGAACCATCATATTAACCCCTTACAGGACTGCCCTGGTTGAGATCAGTTAATTTAGCAGATCCCCAGATCAATCCTGAGATCTTCCGATTCTGTATGGTACAGTATGAGACAATAGCTACATTTTCTCACTCAGCCAATAGGAGAACATACCTTCCGTGTAAATTAAATGATTTTTTTTGTTGGTTGAAAACTGGGATATTGTAACAACTCACAATTATTTTAGATGCTGCCTGGTTTTAATCTACGTGTTGCATCCCTATCTCTAATCTATTCAAAATCGGAGTCAAATGCAACCTGTGTACAGGGTTTTATAATATATGGTTCTGATTTAGTATGATTCTAGTGTGTGTTGGCTCTAATAAGCAGTTTTCTGATTCTTTAAAAACAATTCTGGAATGAAAAATATTTACTAGGAAACCACTTAGGCTAAGTAATGCCGAGCTTTCTGCAGAACTTCTTTGAAATTATTTGTTCTGTTCATATTAATTTATTATAGAAATGTATCTAAACATTTCACATGTTCCCTTCCCGAGTTACTACTTTTTAGTAAAAGAAAGAATGTAATTCTTTCTAATGTAAATGAAACTTCCCACATTTCCCCCCCATTATTTGGATGTATTCCTTAATGGTTTGTCATGTTCATAGGTTTGTTTATTAACCAGAAAGGAAAAAGAGCTTCGTTGCAGTCAAATTTACTTTAATAGCCTACGCACTTTGTTCCTGACTGACTGCATGATATTGATGTCGTTGCCGAGTGCAGATGTCCTGTCTAACCAGTGTAGTCGGTCACCCAATGTTAATTTGCTTTCTTGACAGGTATGGCCTCACAACTGCAAGTGTTTTCACCGATGTCAGTAAAGTCCAGTGCCTTCTGTAACGTGAAGAAATTGAAAGTGGAGCCCTCAAACTGGGATGCAGGACAGGGCACGGCCACAAAATATTGCAATCTGAGTGAAAACCCACCAGTGACTCCAGGACAAGGAAACTCATCACATCAGCCATCTAACAGTCTCCTCTCTTATGACCAGGGCGTACAGCACCCAACCACGTCTGGGCGTATCTTGGTTCCGAGTGCTGAGAGCGTGAGCAGTTCGACAGCACTCTCTGTGGGGTTGTCCAATGGAGTTCAGAGTTTGACGCGTAGGAGCACAGTCAAATTGTTGGATACGTATCAAAAATGTGGTTTGAAGAGAAAAAGTGAGGAGATTGATAGCAGCAGCAGTGTGCAAATAATTGAGGAACATCCGCCTCCGATGCTTCAGAACAACACAGGCAGGACTGCGGTGGGTAATGCTGCCACCACCACCACATCTACTGTGACTTCAAAGAATGGCAGCTCCAGTAATGAGGGGGATTATCAGCTGGTTCAACATGAAATACTTTGCTCAATGACCAATAGCTACGAAGTATTAGAGTTTCTGGGCCGTGGCACATTTGGTCAGGTGGTAAAATGTTGGAAAAGGGGCACTAATGAAATAGTGGCTATCAAGATCTTGAAGAACCATCCGTCCTATGCACGGCAGGGACAGATCGAGGTGAGCATTCTAACTCGGCTGAGCACTGAGAGTGCTGACGATTACAACTTTGTCCGCTCCTATGAGTGCTTTCAGCACAAGAACCACACCTGTCTGGTTTTTGAGATGCTGGAACAGAATCTGTACGACTTTCTCAAACAGAACAAGTTCAGCCCTTTGCCATTGAAGTACATTCGACCTATCCTGCAACAGGTGGCCACTGCCTTAATGAAACTAAAGATCCTTGGCCTGATTCATGCAGACCTTAAACCAGAGAACATCATGCTGGTGGATCCACAACGTCAGCCCTACAGGGTGAAGGTTATAGACTTCGGTTCAGCCAGTCATGTGTTAAAAGCTGTTTGTTCCACGTATCTTCAGTCTCGGTACTACAGGTCAGTGCAATATTATACTTTTTTTTCTTTTTCTGCAGTGTGATCCCATTTGTCAGTGTATTACACAGAAGTGTTTACTGTAATGACTGAATAACAAAATCAAATTTGGTTGAGGTTATGTTGGCGTATCTTGATTGAGAGTGATCTCCTGTTGTGATAAGTGGACTACATCTCACGCACGAGTCAGGTGAGGGTTTGTTTATACCAGTCTCTCCCTTTAATTGGTGCAGATGTGACTTTAACCAGGGTGTTTCTTTGTTCCTAGTCTTGCTTCTATGGTCGACTTGTATTAACAATACTAAATGGAGCAAAGTAAATTGGGACGACGGGCTCATTTGTGAAAGTTACTGGGTTAGCATGGTATCCTGTTTTCACCCATTACTTTTTAGAAAGTGGTTGTAAAAATGCAGGTTTTGTTGTAGCATTGCAGCCATCCCCCCTTATCTCAAACCTGATTATGTCCATGTCACACTGTCCATGTCGATACAGTGAAGTATGAATGGGTGGTCCCTTGTCTGCACATTCATACTTTAAGAACTTATTCTTTATGTCGACGTTGACATAAACTGTACATTTGTCGACAAATTATTTGGGTCCCTAACAGTATTAAAGGCTTTGTTCTATTAACACTTATGTCAACCGTTTTCTTAAATGATTTTTTTCTTACATGATTATCTTTGTAAATAAGTTAATGAAATTTTTGTATATAAGGTAATGAAAATACACGTAAATAAGTACAGGAATTTTAAATAAATTTTGACTTTAAACCTCTTTATATATGAAGCGGAAGAATTATTTTGTAATGAGGCAGTTTGTCTGGTTCACTGTGCATGTGTGTATCCAGCTAGCTCGCTCTCGGTGTGCCAACATGTTCACTGTTTTTTTAAAAAGTTCTGGGTCATTGAGACCTGCCAATGTCACTTCCTCTTCCTATGTGCTTTGTATACATAAGGCACAAAGTGATGGCATAGACCTGATGACCCAGCGATTAAACATTTCAGCTACATGTGTGCTAAAAATGGCCAACTACTCGGTCTTCAGATGTCTGCCAACATGACTTTCTGTGCCCTGCTCACTTACAGAACAGAGGACATTGGCGATGACCTAATGATGTGGAAGTTGAACATTTTAGCTTGAGAGCCAGCTGACACAAGGGAAGCGAACATGGCGGTTGCGCACCCAGTGCACTGAATTGGGTCCACACGCACCTACATTATACTGAATCAGTGTTATAAGGAAGTGCTATGTTGGAGCTGTACTGCATGTACGGTTTTACTTGTTTGGTACATTGTGCACGCTGTTTTCCTCCTCTCCTCCCCCCCACCCCCACTCCACCCCAATGAGGGATGTATAAATATCTAAATGTCTTAGATTTCTGTGAATCTTCCTGGCTCAGGTACAGAATTACCAAGACTGCAACAGAGGATTGACTCCTTTCCAGTCACCTATTGCTAGAAGTGTTACCTAAGAGCCAGCTTGGCCCAAATAATCTTTCCTCTTTACACAAGCTTAACCTGCTTTGTGACTTTGAAAAGGAACAAGAATGATGTGTGTCTTTTGGCCCCTTTGTTTCTATGGAGGAGGGAAAATAATGAAATGGTAAACACATTATAACAATGTGGGTGGAGGGAGGTGAGAGAAAGAAAAGGAGCTTGATGGTGGAAACACTCGGTCACAAGCTGTTCTTATCTATGTTTATACATTTATACATTTGTCATTTGTGATATTTCCCTCACTGTGTGGGTAGTACCTGAAGCTCAGCTTCCATTATGCAATTTTATAATTACCTTTACAGCATTGTGCAGGATTTCTTTTGCACTTGTTCCATATCCAGTGGTGTTCACACATCCAGTTATTTGGGTTAAGTATTCATGTTAAATTAATTTAACTCTACAGTTGTTGAAAGTTTCTTTAATTGTAGGAAAAACTTCTGTAGTGCAAATGTACATCTGCTCTTAGCCTAGTCAATATGACTGATTCATTTACGTTTTGCATTGTGGTGAATATATTCTATGGTTAGTGAATATATTTGCTGATTATAGTTTATTAAACCAAGAAAGGCTTCACTGATCTGAGAAACGTCTTGTCTTTATAAATCGGCTAGGTCATATATTCACCCAAGTCCCATTCAGTTTCCTATCAAGGCCACTTAGATTTCTTTGCACTACTCATATTAATCACCCCTTAACTTGTAGCTCCCCTACCCACCACGATTCCTGCACTTACTGGGTGCATTGAATCGTGGGCAACATAGTTTTGATCTATCGCGATGCACGTTTAGAAGAGTTTACTATCCCGCAATTCAATGCGATTCCGAGGGGATCAAGGATCATGGAAATCGCAGGAAATATAATCTTGACCGGTCACTGCATGTGCACTTACCAACTGCAGTGATGAATACTGCATGTGCACATATCGTCTGCAATGAATTACACATATGGTGAATATAAATTAAATCGGATTTTATGATTTATACAGTTTGCCTCCAATTCGGACTTGACAGAAGTTATACTAAATGGTATGACTTATAGTCCCGACTAATATGACTTGTGAGTTTTACTGTTAATAATAATCTTTGCATTGATATAGTGCTTCATTATGTCTTCGAGACGTGTCAAAAGTGCTTCGCAGAATACTGTAAAGTGAATTGACTGTATATTTTTTGTGTGGAAGAAATGTGGCAGCCAATGGCGCACAGCAATATCAGTTGTATCTCAACCGTCCATCAGTAGTAAACATGTAGGAGGAACAGAGTGAGAATTCTATTTGGGAATTAGGTGAGAGTGGAAATTCGGTGCAGAGAGGGAATTCAGTGCAGGTGAGAACTTGTAAAGGAGAAACAAAAGCCCCAAGAGCCTGCACAAAAGATCACGTGCCGGTCAGTAGGCGTTTAATGTATAAGGAGTGTGAGCAAGAGAGCAAAAGGTGTGAAATTACTTGTTTTTACCTATTTACCATGAAACTGTTGAGATATATTACAAAACATGTCTGAAAAACTTGGCAGACCCATTCCATGCACACTGTGTTCCATGTGGGAACTCCAGAATGGTTCTGGACAAACGTGTGTAGGAAGTGCCTCTGGCACTTAAGCCGGTCTTGGAGTGCATGTGTATAAATGCACGGAGCGTGACCAATTAGCGTGGTGAGCTACAGGCTCAATTGCTAAATGCGGCTATGATGTGGCAATTATGGAGACTTGGCTCAAGCAAGGACAGGAATGGGAGCTGAATATTCCAGGCTGCAACCTATTCAGGAGGGATAGGGAAGAGAAAAAAGGAGGGGTGCAATACTCATTAGGGACACGGTCATGTTCCTGGAAAAGGACGATGTGTTAGAGGGTCCAAAAACTGAATCTGTTTGGTTAGAGTTCAGCAGCAGACAAGGAGCTGTTACTCTGTTAGATATTTACAATAGATCTCCAAATCGTGGGAAGGAGATAGATGAGCAAATCTGCAAGCAGATTTCAGAGAGATGCAAAATCAGTAGAGTAGTGATAATGGGGGATTTCAATTATTCTCACATAGGCTGGGAAACACAGCGTGTAAAGGGCAAGGAAGGGGAGGAATTCCTGAAATGTGTGCAGGAGAACTTTCTGGATCAGCATGTTTCCAGCCCAACGAGGAAGGAAGCAGTTCTGGGAAATGAAGTGGGGCAAGTGGAGCAGGTTTCAGTAGGAGAGCATCTGGATAATAGTAATCACAATACCATTAGGTAGAATTGTTATGGAAAAGGACAACAATCAATCAAAGGTAAAGACCCTCAACTGGAAGTGGGCTAATTTCAGTGAGCTCAAAAGGGACCTAGCTGAAATAGATTGGAAAGAAAGATTGGCAGGTAAGACAGCAAACGGACAATGGGAAGCCTTCAAGGAGGAGATAGCTTGGGAACAGAGCAAATACATTCCCACAAAGGGGAATGTAGGACAGTCAAACCTCCCTGGATGACTAAAGAAATTGGGATTAAAATAAAACAGAAAAAGGCTTATGACAAATGTCAGGTCCAAAACACAGGATCATCAAATAGAATATAGGAAGTACAGAGGAGAAGTGAAAAGAGAAATAAGAGGGGCGAAGAGATTGTACAAAAAAAGATTAGCAGGGAACCCTAAGGTATTTTATGAGTGCATCAAGAGTAAAAGATTAGCCAAAGGTAGGGTGGGTCCAAATAGGGATCCAAGTGGAAATCTTCTTATTGAGGCAGGGGGCATGGCTGATGTAAAAAAAAAAGTATTTTGCAACTGCCGTCACAAAAGAAGAGGATGTAACCAATGCCACAATATCACAAGCGTGCGAACAGAAATTGGATATGATAAAAATCAAAGTAGAGGAGGTGCTAATAAGCATGTTGGTGCTCAACATAGATAAGTCACCGGTCCGGACGGGATGCATCCTAGGTTACTGAGGGAAGCAAGGGTGGAAATAGCGGAGGTTCTGGCCACAATTTTTCAATCCTCTTTGGACACTGGAATGGTGCCAGAGGACTGGACGGCTGCAAATGTTACTCCCCTGTACAAAAAACGGCAGAAGGATAAACCTGAGAACTACAGGTCAATCAGCCTAACATCAGTAGTAGGAAAACTTCTGGAGACTATAATCCGGGACAGTATAAATTCTCACTTTAAAAAATATGGTTTAATAAAGGACAGTCAACGCAGATTTGTTAAAGGCAGATCGTATCTGACAAACCTAATAGAATTTTTGATGAAGTGACTGAGAAGGTGGATGAAGGTAGTGCAGTAGATATAGTTTATCTATATTTTCAAAAGGCATAAGTGCCACATAAGAGACTTATAAACAAAATAGAAGCCCACGGTATTAAAGGGACTGTGCCACATGGATCCAGAACTGGCGAGGAGACAGAAAGCAGAGAGTGGAAGTAAACGGTTGCTTTTCTGACTGGAGGGAGGAGTGCAGTGGTGTCCCTCAAGGGTTAGTATTGGGACCACTGCTCTTTCTGATCTATATTAGTGACCTGGATATAGGGCACACAATTTCCAAATT